AAATACAACACCATTTTATATAAGGAACTGAGCATCAGTGGATTTTGGTATCTATGGTGGGCAGAGGTGGTGGTCCTGGAACCAGTCCCCAGTGGATACTGAGGGATGACTTTAGTCTCCTGGGCTCTGAATCTGACTCTGGCTTCGTGTCTCTGTGACTCATACACTGACCTGATCTGAGCAGGGTTCATTCTTGTAGCCTGAGACTGCTATTTCTCAGAGCCTTGTGGTTGGTCTGCCTCCCCTGTAGGATAAGTAATTTTTTTCACCTCAAATCCTTTGTGGCATGGGTGGAGTATAAATAAAATCAGCCTTAGCTTTGTGAGGGCAACACTGAGAGTGTCCTGCTTTATCAGATCTTAGTGGCCCTGCTTCTGCACACAGCTGCTATTATCATTGCAAACAGACTGGTGGCCTGATTGACAGGCTGTACTGGTAGGGGCTCAGAGTCCTTGTTAGGGGCTGGGCAAAGGCCAGTAGGAAGCCCTGGTTCCCTGCATCGCTCATACCCCAGGAGGCCAAAAGCTCTACTGCTTTGAGCCTCGGGGCAATCTGGCCTGAACCAGTTGGATTCTAGAGGCCTACACTTTCCTGTCTTGCTTATAGCCCTGTTCAGGGCACCAGTCTTACATATCCATTGAGGTAAGAGAGTGCAAGGGGGCCTCGTGTACAGCTCTGGGCCCTGAACATGATGTTCATTTCTATAGCCAGCGGTCAGTGGAGCAGCTCCTGCACGGGCAGGGAACATTTCGCCAGGCTTGGATTAACTTCTGCATTGCTGAGCCCCACCATGGCACCATATAACTCATGAAGACATCCTGGGCATAGGGGGCGGGGGAAGCAGGCAGAATGGTGCGGGCACTGATTGAGAAACTGAGTCTGGGTAAGGCAGCACCAAGGCCATGGGCCATGTCACAGCCCACAGATAGTCTTCAAGGAGTGGAGACATCAGTTTCTTGCTGACTGTAACCACAAACCACAAACTGACTGCCCTTTCTTTCTCAGTAGCTGGTACTGGTCTTGGCCACAGATACCCCTCTGGCTTGAGATCTCCTCTGAGTGACCTTTCCCTGCTGTCACACAGATTCAAACTCTCAGGAAGTTCAGCCTCTTCAGTGTGACTGACTGGGTGAGGACAGGCCCCAGGGTCTCAGGCAGCCAAGCTGAATAAACAAGACAGCAGGGATGCAGTTCAGCATGTCTGAGTAACAGTGAGAAAGCAGGGAATGAGAGAGGAAGGTCACACTTTTCACTCAGGAGCTCTAGGGCATCCCCTGCCATCTTTAACTTGTCTCTTTGGAGTACTCCCCCTTCAGTGCATGGCAGCAGTCAAGTCCAAAGTCCCACTCAAGAGAAAAATCACATGACTTGAGTTTATACAATATAATCTTCCTGTTACTGAACAGCTGGAACCCAGAGCTTCAAGAGATGAGTCTGCAGCCCCATTGGCAAATAGGATCCAGGTACTTTAGGTTCCCAGACCTTTCGCTCCTAGCAACAGGTCCCAGAGTAGAGGGCAAGGGTATGGAAGAGACTGCATAGGGAGAATAGGCTGGCCAGCCTATGAGCTTCAGTCCCTGGCTCTGCATCTAAACAGCAGGTGGCTGGCCTGGTGACTGCTCTGGAGGGCCCAGGACAACCTACAGCTCTTCTTGGGGATAGGAGAAGGTGGCCTGGGCAGGGCAGGGAGAAGGCAGAGCTGAGGCTGGTAGGCAGAATGCCAGGGCTGGGGAGGGAGCAGTGGGAGGAATGGAGTGGAAGAGGATTAGGATGGATTGTAGGGGTTAAAGCACAGCCCTGGCAGGGCTCTGTGGGAACAGCTTGTCCTTAGGCCCAGGAAACAGGAGAGGCAGGGCAAACGGGGGCATTACCAGGTTGGGTGCTTGGGCTCCTGGGTCTCTGCAGGGCCAATGCACCTGGCTTGGAGTCCCCACTGAGGATAGTGAAAGCTTTTTCTTTTTTCATACCAGTTTTGAGCCACCACATCCTTTCTCTCCCATGTGTCTGCAGTCTGCATTTAAACAGAAGGTAGAACCTGGGGGCAGCCTTCATTATCCCAGACTGAGCTGCAGTCCTGTGGACTGGCATTTTCTTGGGCTTCTGCAAGCATGGTGGGTTACTCAGAATTCACATCCCCCCTCTGCCAGCTCTTTACTATGCTCAGTTGAGTCTGTGGTATTTCAAGTTCATGTTGGCTGTTATTTGAGTGAGAGGAATGAGTCGGGTTGGAATTGTCTACCCTGGTGGGGCCTGCTATTGACCTTCCTACATGAATGCCAGCTGTAGTTCAAATCACCTGCCCTTGGGCCCCAGGGGAGTCAGGTCAGGCTGGATTCTGCCACAGCATGCACTTTTTCACATTTGTTCCTCCCAGGGCTGCTGCCCTCACCACTCTAGGGAGCTGCCAAATGCCCCTTCCTATCACCTTTCTCCCTAAGTCTACAGGAACTCTCCCACAGCACTGCCCTGGCTTCAGATCCTCTACATGCATTTTACTTCCTTTTAGTGGATGAGGAAACAGAACTTAGATGAGATGTGTCCAAGGTAAAGAGGCAACCTGTTCCTTCCAGCAGTCACAGCCCACCCCAGCCACAGAGGACCACTCCCTTTTCCACTACCTATGATGCTTGAAAACAGTGAGGGCTGCCTCCCTCATTGTTTGCAATTATTTGAAGACTTAATTTCCCCAAGTTAAATGTGAGTGCACTGAGGGCAGGGACCAGGTTCACATATCTCTTGCCTCCTGGAAGGGTATAAGGAGGATGAACACTCACTGAACACCTACTACATGCCAAGCCTTTTCACAAATAACCTTTGATTCTTCATGATAATCTATAAAGTGGGAACTCTGATCATTTATTTTACAGAGAAAACAGGTTCAGAAGTTAAGGAACTTCTCTGAGGTTTTAGTGCTAGTAAGCTGAGCACCCATAAATGAATGAATAAGGTAAGATCCCTAAATGCAGATGTGAAAAACAAGTGGGTTTTAGAAAGAAGTGGTCCAGCCCCCATGAGCAGGGTTGTTCTCATCTCTGCAAAATGCATTCAGCTCCAGAGTGAGCATGAGAGTGGTGAGGAGAAGGGATGCAGTTAAACCAGGGCCTTACATCACTGACCCATTGGGGCCTTTCCTGGTTGACAATATCTTTTTGAGTGTGAGCTCAGAGTGGAGCACTAACTCTGGTAGGGCATTACTGGCATTACTTAACAGTGTTGTAGGTTGTTTCTGGAAGGAAAGGGGAGTTGTTAGGGTGGCTAAGTGTGCCCCAGGGTAATTTGCCACTCCCCTGAGTTCCTCTCACAAAACTCCCTTCTCCCTGTCCCTGGGGCTAAAGGGTGGGCCGGGAGTCCACTTTGGATGGAGTGGAGGGTAGCAGATTCCAGGGAGGTTTGGGATATGCCTGTGTGGGAAGGAGGCAGAGTCCCAGTGGAGTCTGACACCTTTGAGGAAAGCAGGGTGGTCTGTACTTTATCTGTGAAGTGGATATTTTCAAGCCTCAGTGTATTTAATTTTTTAAAATTGACTTCAGAGAGAGGAAAGGAGAGAGAGAAACACCCATTTGTTGTTCCACCCATCCATTCATTCATTGGTTGTTCCCGGCATATGCCCTGACCAGGGATCAAACTCAAAACCCCGGAGTATTGGGATGATGCCCCAACCAACTGAGCTACCCAGCCAGCATAAGCCTTAGGGTACTTAAAGATGACCTGAAGAGCTTGTGAAAAAGGTGGATTCCCAGGCACTATCCCTAGAAAGTTTTATTCAGGGGATCTGAGTGGAGCGTAGGCCCCTGAATTGTTAAGCCCTGCAGGTGATTCTGTTGTAGGAAGCCTGCAGACCCCGCTTTGAGGAACACTGCATACCACAAAGAACCCTTCTCTTTAGAGCAGAGTCGGGGGGCACCCCTCAGACACCTCTAGGACCTAAGTCCCTCCACTGAGAGCCGCTTTCTAACTGCCTCTGAGATGAGCAACACCAGACATGCCCAAGTGAATCATGCTCCAAACCAAGCTCACATTTCTCTGAGTGCACATGTCTCCCAGGCCAGCTCTGGAGTTTCCCATTCTTCTTCTACACTAGCTCTCCCATGTAGCCAACCCTGTCTTGTCAGGGTCTGAAAGTTCTGGCAGGCAAGAGCTTTTGTATCTCCCATGGCACTTCACAGATGGCCCACCAAGGTCAAGACTCTGTAGGTAATGTTATCAAAATTGTCCTCTTAAGACCTTTAATTATTCCAAGCTTCAAGGTCTATGACCCAAAGCCCCACCCTTATCATGCACTACTGCTCTGTTTATCTGGACAAACCCACTAAGCAACATTGCTTGTTGTGAGGTAGCTATTGTTTAAAAAAGGGCACATATCCTAGGAGGGAAGGGTACATATAATAATGGAGATAAAACATCTAACTCTCCTGCCCATATGCTAGCCTGTCCATCTATTTACCCACCTACCCACCCATCATCCATCCATCCATCCATCCATCCATCCATCCATCCACTGATCTATCTACCCACTCATCATCCATACATGCAATCAGCAGGCCAGCTGAGTTCTGTGCTGCTCTAAGTACATGGTGAGGGCTCTAGAGATATTATTTTTTTCTCATCCTGGTAGCACTTGCCACCTAACGGGTTACCGAAAACTAGAGAAAAGACAGAATGTAGTCTGTGCCCCAGGAGGGATATGTTCAGGGATTAGATGTGAGTGAGACCATGCCAGTCCTTACTCAGTCTCCAGCAGAGCCTCCTACCTTATTCCAGCCCAGGTAGGACTGGAATATAGAGGCATTAGGTTGTCTAAAGCCCTAGACAAAAATTCCTCCAAAGACATGATAAGGGCTGCTGTCCAGGCATCCTGGTCCTGAGCCAGCCAGTGTCAATCAGAGGAGAGTCCCTGTTCTCCAATGACTAGGCCCAAATGCTAAGCCTGGTCTCCAGGCTGGGAAATGAGAGCCTGAGCAAGGGAAGAGATGCAACCAGAGCACAGGGGCCTTTCTTACCACAGGGAACACTGGTGGTCTTGGGGCCTCAGCTTCCAGTCCAGGATGGGGCAGGGCCTGCATGGGGCCTCGGCATGTTGGGTGGAAAAGTAGAGGGCAAGAGTGGCAGTGTATATGAGGGTGGCTGAACATTTCTGGGAGGACTGCTGGGCCATCATCAAGTGCACAGGTCCTGAAGTGGATTTCCTGGGGAGAGTGGGAAAGCCTCTGAGAAAGGCAGTGAGCCATCATGGCATCAGACATGCCTAGATGACTTCCTGTAGCTGTTGTGAGACTTAGAAAGAAAACCTCTGCTTTTGATCATCATCAGTAGAGTTGGGAATCCTTCCTTCAACCTGGTTCTTCTATATCAGTGACTGCCTCCCCAGCCCATCACCGGGTCCCCAAAGGGCAAACTCACCATGGTGTCTCGCCCTGGGGAGCTAGGGCGGCTGGGCCCAGGGGTCTGGCATTTACCCTTCTCCCACAGAGTAGAACGGCCACTGGGTCGGTAGGTGGGGCTGAGGACTTCAGAGACTCGTGAGGGAGGGGCCTGGGTGAGCACCTGAGGTGTGCCGCCCTTTCGACCACAGTTCTCCAGGTAGTCAGACAGGTACTCAGAGCGGCTGGCTGCCTGGTAGAGCCCCTGCAGGGCACACAGCTCCTTGCGTGTGCGGGCCAGCATGGGGCTGCGGCCCAGGTTCCCAGAGTCTGTCCGGTAGCTATCTGAGGTCCGCAGGCTGGAGAAATCCCTGGCCAGGTCTAACTGACTGATTGACTTCTTCTGGGTGAGGGTTACCCCCTGGTTGCAGGCATTCATGGGCAGGTAGCTCAGGGAGCTGTTGGTTACTCCATAAGGGAATCCACTGCCCCCGCTGAGTCCACTCCCTGAAGGCTGCTCAGTGCCCCGAGTCTGGCTCTCAGCCTTCTTACCACCCCCGATGATCTCTGGTCTCAGCAGGGGGCGGCCCCTGTCATAGTCCAGGATGGAGGATGGGCCATAGGTACGGGGGCGGGTGAGGAAGCTGGTTGGTGGGCCCGGTCTGAAACCAAGCTTCTCCTTCTCCAGGAAGGAGGCAGCCAGGTTGACCCCGTAGGAAGAGGGAGTGTAGGTGCCATAGCCTGATTTGGCGTAAGGGGCATCTGTGTAGCGGGCCGATTCTGTGTAGCGCTTCAGAGTGGAGGAGAGCTGGGACATCCTTCAGGGCTGCACTCAGTGGGGACTGGGAGCCTCATGGGCTGAAAGACAAGGAAAGCAGTTGTCAGAGGGCCTTGCCAGGTGTCAGGCTCCCACTGTACCTGCTCTCCATCCCCAGCTGGCCAGAATCTTAGATCTCAACCAGGGATCACATAGTCCATTTCTGCAAGAGGCTGGCCTGCTGCTGAAAAACATGCCTATGCATGTGCGTACACACGTGTGCATGTAAGTCTGCATGCACCCATGCATTCACACCTCAGTGAGAACATATAGGTGACTGGTTTTTATAAACCACACAGGACAATTAGTCTTAGCACACCTTGGCCTCTCTGAGTGATCCCATTCAAAACCCAAACACGGGAGCAGGGACTGTCCTCCCTTGTAGCCCTCTCCAAGCCACACATGGTATTCCAGCCCAGATCTAATCGACTCCCTCCCTTCAGTTTCTGTAGAAACTCCCCAGAGAGAGGGATGTTGCTGCCTCACCCTCTGGATTGAGAACACTGTACAGTTCAAGAGTTAAGACTGTTTCCCTCTCTTCTGACTTATTGGACGAAGAGAAATAAGTCTTTTTGGTATCATAGACAGTCTGAGCTGGAATGTCCTGGGGATTATTTGTTCATATTCCTGGTGAGGAAAAGGAGGGTCATGAGAGGAAGTAATGGGGGCTGGAGGGAAATGGAGGTTAGTGAGTATGTGGCAGAGAGGGGGCTTGACCTTGGTCTCTAGACTCCTTCCCAGAGTTCTTCCCTGGACACGGTCTCCTGCTGCAGTGGGGGAATCCTTGTGTGATAGAACCCACCCTCTTCCCTGAGCTAGGTCTTCAAAGTGGCATTAGGGTATGGGGGTCTTCCAGGAGTTCCCCTACCAACCAACATCCATCCCCAACTGCTTATGGTGATAATGATGTGTAATTGGGGCCCCCTAGAGGCTAAAATCTTGCACTACAGGCAGAGCTCCCTGTATCCACCCCAAATCCTTACAGCTGGGGTAGACCTAGTGAAAGAACACAGAATGTCTGAATTTTGAGTTTTGAGAGCTCTAAAGGGTCATCCATTTTAAACTCCCTGTATATATACAGGTGTATAGATGGGAAAAGTGACACTGATTTGCCCAAGGTCATGCACTAGCAGAGCCAGGATTGGAATCCAGGTCTTCCCAATTTCTAGCACAGTGCTCTTTACACTTTACCTGGATTCACCCCTCCCCATCAAATTTAGGCTCACCTGGAAACCCCTAGAGTCCCTTCATCACCCCAAAACACAGGTTTTATCTCAATGGAGGAGGGCAAAGGTGCTTTGGAGAGAGGCACAAGGAGGATCAGGCCCCTTTCCTGAGGGCCATCAGGGGCTTGGGAGGGGTTGGGAGGGCAGAGCCACCCAGGACTCTCAGAGAAGTGTGTGCAGGGCTGGTTTTTAACTCTCCTTGTGACTGACTAGTTGAGTGATTTTGCTGTGGTCATTTCACCTCTCTGAGCCTCAATTTTCTCACCTGTAAAGTGAGTATAACATCATCATCATGATTCCTACCTCACAGGGTTGTTGTGCAGATTAGGTAACATGTGAAAGCAGTGACAGCAGTTATTACCACCCCGGCAGGGGGCTCCCCCAGCCCCCTGCCGGGCAGCACTCTGGCCCTTCTCTTTGGAGGCCTATAATAAGTAACGTCAGGGCTGGCTCTCTCCTGGCCTCAGTGGCTTCTGACCTCATCCCTGAGCACTAAGGTTTCCCCCGATAGCCCAAGTGAAACGAACTGATAAATGGGCAGTGGCAACAATCTAGCTCATTAGCAGTCAGTGGCTTGGGCAGCCCACAGCCTGCTCCAGGCTGGCAGCTTAGCCCATGATGGCAGAGAGGAGCTGGTGCCAAACTCCCCATGCTGAGGGTTTGGCAGAGATCACTAGAAATTCAGTTTATGCAAGGCTTGGGATAGGTACAGGGGCAGATCAACAGGTGGCAACTTCCATATAGGCCCTAGAGCACAACTTCCAAGATCCTGCCAGCAATTTTCAGTCCAGATTGGCCCACATTTATTGTCTATGCTTTTCCCACCTGGCCTGGGACCCCCTACCTTCATGTATCCTCCCTTGCACATTGTGCTCCTACTTCCAGCACAACTTTCACCCCTTTATAGGGAAGGTAATTGTAGGAAGACTTTATTTAGGGTTGAGGGAAACTACAAGCTTTCCTCCCATTTGCTTAACTTTCTTGGGCACAGAGGAGGAAGGGAATGTAGGCTGAGGGAGGCCATGGGGAGAGACAGGCAGAGGCACAGGCAGCTGGGGCTGGGGCTGGGTTCATTCCTGCTCTATTTCACTATTGATGAGACCTCCATCAATAATTCAAAGTCATAGAAACTCCAAGTCTCAGGAGCTGGGCTCTGGAACACCTAGCAGCCAATCAGATACGACCCTCCCTGGGCAAGAGTTCATGTCTCTTCCCCAGGCTGTCTCTCCCCACACCCACCCTAAGGTCCCAGGGAATTGGTATTCTGCAGGCAGTGCCTGGAGCTCATGACCTCTCCTGGCACCACTGATGATGCAGAAGTGCTGGGGCCATACAAGGTGCAGCCTGGACAGGGACAAACAACTCTGGGACAGTTAATGAGTAGCACTGGGAAGGTTTAGGGGCTGGAGGTAGAGCCACGCCTTCTGGCCCACAGATTCCCAGGAGGGCTCCTAAATCCCTGCTTTCCTGTCTATTCCAATCTGGCAGCCAACTGACAGACCTCCCCACTTCCAACAGCAGCCCCCGGGGGTGAGGAGTCATGCTACTGCTGACAGACTCCTGGAAGCTACCTCTCAGCACTGACAGCTGGCTTACAGTTCCCATGTCTGGGGAGAGGATCCCTATTGGGGCTGAGGCCTTGAGCATGATTATTCCCCCTGTCCCCCACCCCCTGCCTGCCTTGTTTCGCTCTTGAGAAAAGTGCCAGTACCTCCCTGGTGAGCTGACAGTTTGGGTTGGCACCCCTTGGCATTACCTGGCAGGGCTGACCCTGGAGGCTGCAGATTATACCATGGGCGGGAAAACAGGCCAGGGCCCTGGCAGTATCCTTGCCGAACAAGACAGGGACAGGACTGGCACTCACATGGCTATGAGTCTCCTTGTTGCCACAGCAACAGCCTGAACTGAATGGCCGGTTCACGGGACAGTGAGAGGCAAGTTGATTGGCTGGGGCACTGCCCTCCCCCTCCCTGTCTGGTGTGGGGCCCCTGCTGCTTGGCACCTTTCACTGTTTCCTCAGAGCTGGCAAGTATAGGCACGTGGCTCCAGGAGGTGCTTCCCCAGGTGCCTGCCACCTTGGACAGCAGGGGCAGTCCACCTTCCCAGCCCCTCCTCCATGCCATCTTCACAGAGACGTTCCCATTCTTCACAGCTCTACTAGAGTTCCCCCTCACTTTGCTCAGTTCCCCCCTCTTGGGGAACTGAACCCAGCCCCAGCTGCCTGTGCCTCTGTCTCTCTCTCCCCATGGCCCCCCTCTTGGGGCAGCAGCATTCCTCTGCACAGAGCGTTCAGCTTCCTGATGGGATATGTGAGCCAAGAACCATGACCCTGGCCAACAGGTACTGAATATCTCTGAACCAGGTATCATGCTAAGTGCTTCTCATGCAGCCCTCACCACATGCCTGGTGCTCTGATAAGTGCTCTTCATACAGTGTCCCTCAAGTCTTAGTGCAGTTTTAAGCTTTAATTCTTTTGGAAGAAAAATTGCCTTAAACTTACAAACATCATTTGAAGGTTTAATTTTTTACATTAAATTGAAATAAAATATATTTTAATTCAAAACTTAAAAATAGACAAATTTAAATAATGAGGCACTCAAATGAAGCATTTAGCATCCATACTTCTGAAGTTATTAAAGTTTAATACAGCACTATGACCTCTGGGATGCCACGTTTAACTCATTTAATCCTCAAAACTGCTCTAAGCAGTAGGTGCTATTAACAATATGCCCATTTACAGATGAGGAAACCAGGGTTTGTGGAAGTGATGTGGATTTCCCAAGGTCACACGGGTAAGGATGGCAGAGCTGGACTGGGACATGTATTCAGTTCTCTAATAGCCACCCTGAAGTTGGCCCCTCACTTCATACCATCCAGAGCTCCCCATGAGCTGGCAGAGTGTCGAGGCCCTGTGGCATATGGTGGGGGCATCACTGTCTAGATAAGAGCATGGTGGGTACAGACTCTTGCACGAGCAGCCTTGTGGAGTTTCCACTGCAGTAGAATGAAAGCAAAGTCAGGTGCAACCTGAGCCCCAGTATTGATCGGCGTCGAGATGGTCCAGGAGGCCTCTATTTCACCTGCAGTGCCAAGCTCCTGCATGTCCCCTGGCACTAGGCTCTATGGACATGTGCCCCAGCCTCCTACCCTTGCTGCAGCTCGGCTCACTCCCCAAGGTACCCAGGCTAGGTGAGTCAGGGGTTAAAATGAAACCTATACCCCAAGGGCATCCAACCCCCTTGTAATCTGCCACTGTCATTTCCTGTTGCTTCTGTGAAAGGCTCCCTAACCTGCCCAACCGGGGGGGAGGACTTGCTCCCAAGGAATCCCAGGCACTCCTGGCATCCAGGGTAAGGGATGGGTAGTGCCCCACATCCCAGCAGTCTCCCTGGCTCTCTCTGTGCAGATTTGCCTGCTTTCTGGGGTGGAGGCATGCCTTGTCATTGCCTGGATAGAAAGCCCATAGGTGGGTTTCAGAGGCATGACTCAACAGGGTTCAGTCTCGTCCCTCCCGTCTACATGTCCAAGAGAGGTGAGTGAGAAAAACTGGCTAGTCCTGGCAGGTGCTTGGGAACCTTCACGGTGGTGATGTCAGAGCTTCCCATAGCCACTTGTAAAGGAATAAGGCACTGCTGATGTGCTGACCTGAAGGAAGGGCAAAGTGGGATGAGAGAGGGGCCCTGTCTCCATCTACACTTTCTGACCCTCACTCTTAGCCCTTCAGGCACTGTCTGGGCACAGGTGTCAACTTGAGAGTCCAGGGATGTCCTGGCAGGTGTGGAGGATGCAGGTAGAGGGAAGGATTGGGGTGGGGATATTTGTGCTCACATCATCCAGGAGATCTAGATTGGTCCACTCATCTCAGGCCCCCAGGAGCCTCAGCCTGCCCCTGCCTCCCCAACCCCTGCCTCCCCACCCCCAGCCTGTCACTAGCAGCTCTATCTCTGAGGGTCTAGGAGCCAGCGACCCACCAGTTTAGTGCCTAATAGTCTTGTATGCCTTGACAGGAGATCATCTAAGGGAATTTGGGTCCATTTCTGTCTCTCATGCTCCCAGTAGCTGCCCAAGGGCTGGGAGCGGGGAGGGAGAAGAGGTAAAATAAAGAGGTTGGAGATTAGAGCAAGAATCCTGACTGGTTGAAAAGATGTGGGTGGGCCCAGGGTAGTGTCTCTACTGGGTGATTCTTTGATTTGGGGTTGAGAGGGGTAGGCATCACTACACTTCCAAGAAAAGGCAATGGAAATGGGTCCCCAGGCAGTACTGAAATCCTTAAATTCCCTTCCCAGCCACCTCTGTTGAGGCACTCTTTTGTTGCCTCCTCCCCAGGGAAGAACAGCTTTCTCTCTCTCCTCCAGGACTTCATCTTTCCTCTGTCCTTGACCTCCAGCCTTTTGTTTTGCCCACAGCACCCACCAGGTCTGGTGGGACGGTCTCTCAAATGTACCCCCAAAACGGACAGTTCAGGGCCCTCTGTTCAGCGTCCCTGTGAAGTTCAGATATTAAAGGGGCAGCTACTAACCTGTGTTGCGGGGGAAATGGACAGGATCTGGGGGCTTCTCCTTCCCCAGCTGGGCCAGGAGTGCAGTGGAGAGCCGGGAGGCTGGAGTATGACTCTAGGCTGCGTAATCTGGTGCTCAAGTTACTGACTCTGATATATATAGTATCTTATCTGACCTCACAGAGATGGCTAGCTAGCCCAACTCACATGCATTACAAGCCCAGGGAAAATTAAAGGGGCAGGGACAGGCCTTCCCTCAAAGGGTTGTCCTGGTGGGCACATGCCAGTCAAGGAGATCCAAGAGGACTTCGAGTAGGAGACATTTTAAAGTAGAACAGAAGGACACAAGGTAAAACAACTGGAAAGAGGGTAGTGATATGGGGGGTAGAATTGAGGCAAAATTAGGGAGAAGCAGGTACCAGTCACAGAATTAGAGAAGAGGAAGAAGCCATAGGGTTAGTCTAACTTCTTTACTTTTGAGATGGTAAAGACCTCAAAATGGACAGCTGCTTGCTCAAGGGCACACAGATAATAAGAGGCAGAAGAGACTGCCTCTCATATTTCCAGACCAACTGTCTTATAATGGACTTCTAGGCTCTGAAACACTGGGCAAGTCACTTAAGCTGTCTGAATCTTAGTTATTTTATCTGTAAACAAGGAACAATAGTCATAATACTGCTCTACCTCACCATTGTGAGGGTTAAATAAAATGCCAATTTCCTGGCACATTATAAGAGCTCAATAATGAAAATTATTTTTATACTGAAGACTTCCACTTAATAATTAATTGTAGTATTTTAGTAGCGCACCCCTCCCCCCCAGGTGAAACTTCCTAGGGAGAAAAAGGCCTCTGTGCTACCCCTCGGAGCACCCTGTTTTAATACCAGAGAACAGCCCCATGCTTTTCTGAGTTGGTGTATGTTCCATAACTGGTAAGGGCAAATGAGGCTTGCTATATATTCCCAGCTGTCCAGCCCACCCAGCTGAGAAGGGACAGGAGCATTTGGGCTCCTTCCCCTTTTGCCTAGAAAAATATACCAGGAGCAGCTTCCGCCAGGCTACTAGGAGAAAGCCCAGCTGCTCTGGAGTGGCTCTACTCTACCTGCAGGAGTGCTCAGTATTCCAAGGCCACAGAACTGGGCCAGGCAGGGTCACAGGAAGAAGGAGCAGGATTCTCAACCTCTCAGGCCTTGGTACTCTTGTTGGCTGTCAGTCTGTTTCTCGATGGCTCTTCCTGTGGACTGTGTGTCCCTGAAACTGTGCCTCCACCCTGTCTCGGCAGAGGCTACTGACTCAGCTCAGGTCCTGATGATGCACTTTGGAGGACACCCTTGTCTGGGTCCTCATTCCAGCCCCTGTGATTACCTTGGTTTGGCATGAATCTACAGCATCGGAGAAGTGGGGTGCCCCAATGCCAGCTCAGCCAGCTCTCCTTTCATCCACCTTACAGGGTCCAACTTGGGGGACCTTCTCATGCTCATGTCAGGGGAGGTGAGCATCACCACAGTCTCCAATTCAGCCCCATTCTAGAAGCACGCAGGTCAAAAAGTAAATGTTCACAACAGCTGGACTGGGTTGGCCAGGGTTTCCCTTGGCTAAGTTACTCGCCTTGGAGCACATCCCACCTGCTTTTGGTTTGGGATTGGTGAGAATTTTAAAGATGCCTCTTTCTGGTTGGGATTGGTGGAAAACCTCTGCTTCCACTTAACTGCTGCCCTCCCGCCACCCCCACTTTACTGACCAGAGGTAGCTCCCCACCTTGCCTCTTTAAGAAGAGGGAGGACATGAACTGCATGCTCACGTGAGGAAGGGATTGACAGTGTCTAGGCGGCACTCCCAGGCCACATACCACACAGGGCACAGAGACCTGGACCTGCCAAGCAGCATTTCCCTGGAACACACTGATCAGCACACAGATAGCTCTTCCTGGCACACTGAGCTGTCAGCTGGCCGTCACCCCCACAACTAGCATCCGCAGCTGGAGCTCCTTCGCGCAGCTGGCACTCGCCCTACATTTCTAAGTGTCCACTCTGCCCAGGTAATCGCTGACACCTCACTTTCTGAGCCTCAGTGGCACTGACCTCCGCACCCTTCCTCCCCACCCTCCGACAGGTGGCACGTACCTGCTTTTTCTCCGAGGTTGGACGAGTCGAGCCGGGCACAAGCATCGAGCTGCGGGTGAGTCCCGGCTGGTATTAGCGCGGCGCAGTGGGCAGCGGCTGACGCAGCGAGCTCCCTGGCCTCCGCTCCAGCCCGCCTCTCCCCCACCTCTACCGGGGGCCCAGGAAGGACCTCCCCGGGAAATCGGCGCCACCCAGCGGGCAGCCGCTTCATTGCTCCCGGGCCTGCAAGCCACACCCGGCGTCTCGCGTCACGGAGACGCGTCACGGCTACTGGCTTGTTTCCATTGTGGCGTCATTAGGGCCCCAGCACAGCCAGGTAGATAGGTGTAAAGGCAAGTCCAGGTTTCCAGTTTCATCTGGACTATCAAACAAAGAAAAGTAACGCCGGTAGGGCTTCCCGCCTCCCCCCGCCCGCGCCCAGGAGGAAGCCCAGCAACTCCAGGCCAGTCCACCCAACTTGTAGGAGTGCTCAGGATATGTCAGTTTCCTCTCCCGTTCTTCACAGCTGGTATATTTGTTTATTACTACTGTCCTGAAATCCCTGTGTGTCTTCTATTTCCCACAGAAACTAGATGCAATCAGGAGAAAAATACTTAAATATTTGCCTACATTCTTACCTGTGCTCAAAGTAAGAACAAGTGTGTCTGTTCTTGTTCAAAACCAGTCCCTTCTGGATCTCAACCCTTTCTTTCTTTAGGGCCCTCACTAGATCACATTTTACAGATGGCTAATGAATGCAACAGACACTCTTCTAGGCATTGGGGATACAGCAGTGAACAAAACAGGCAAAACCTTGCCATCGAGGAGCTTACATTCTAGTAGAAGCAGAAGGACAATGATCAAATAATTAAACTATATAGTATGTTAGATGGCAGGAGTAACTGTGGAGGCAAATAAAGCAGGGAGGGGGATATGAAGTGTGAGTTGTAGTCAGAGATGACCTCAATGAGAAGGTGAGATTTAAATGATCTGAAGGAGTTGAGGGAGTGAGCCATCTGGATATCTCGGGGAAGAATTTTGGAGGCAGAGGAAACAGTAAATGCAGAGGTCCTGAGATGGGAGCATACTTGCTACTTTGGAGGAAGAACCAGGAGGTCATTGTGGCTGGAGTGAAGAGAGAGAGTGGGAGATGAGCTGAAAGAGATAAGGGAAAGACTTCACCTTGGAGGACTCCAAGGCCAATGTGATGACTCGAAGCTTTTATTCTGTCATGGAAGCTATTGGAAGATTTTGAGGGACATGAATTTGACTTTTTTTTTTTTTAAAAAAAACAACATAATCTTTTTAGCTACTGAAGGGAGAACAGATATGAAGAGAGCCAGAGTAGAAGCAGGAGACCATTTAGGAGAACACTGCAATCATCTGGTGAGAGATGGTGGTGGCTGGGGTTAGTGTGGTGAGAGATGGTGAGAAATGGTTGGATTCTGGATGTCTTTTGAATGTAGAGCTAACAGGTTCTTCCTATGGGTTATGTACTGTGAGAAAGGGAGGAATTTTTGGCCTGAACTTTGAGAGGGTATAGGTTGTGGGAGGAGCAGGTTTTGGGGTAAAGGTAGGTCAGGAGCTTGGTTTAATGCATGTTAAGTTTGAGATGTCTTTCAGACATATTAGGATGTCAAAAGAGCAGCTGGATGCACATGTTTGGCAAAATCTGGGTTGGAGATATAAAATTGAGAGTCATCAGTATATGGATATTATTTAAGCCATGAGATTAGAAGAGATCACCAGGGAGCAAGTATAAGTAGGGAAAAAAACTATGTGCAAGGACTGAATCCTGGAACTCTCCAACATTAAATGATTTTAGAAATGTATAGGAACCATCAAAGAGACTAAGGAATGGCCAGTGAAGGAGGGAGAAAACAAATCCAGGAGATGGTGGCGTGCTGAAAGCCAACAGCAGGAGACTCACTAAGGAAGAAAGATCAATTGTGTCAAATGCACACAGGTTAAGTAAGAAGAGTCTGAGAATTGATTTAGAAGGTTGTTGGTGATAGAGCCTGACAAAAATGCTTTTGGTGGAGTGATGGGGTGCAAGTTTGATTGTGGGTGCGTTCCAGAAAGAATGGGAGAGGGACGGATACAGTATAGAGAACTCTTTGGAGGAGTTTTGTGGTGAAGCAAGGAAAGATAATGGGTGGTAGCTAAAAAGAGAAGTAAGGTCAAGGATATATTTTAAAAGTCTTCTATTTATTTATTTTTAGACAGAGGGGAAGGGAGGGGGAAAGAGAGGGAGAGAAACGTCAATATGTGGTTGCCTTTTGTGCACCCCCGTACTGTGAGGGGAGGGGGCTGGCCCACAACCCAGATATGTGCCCTGAATGGGAGTCAAACCAGAGATCCTTTGGTTTGTAGGCCAGCGCTCAATCCACTGAGCCACACCAGCCAGGGTTAAGGATATTTTTTTAAATGGCAAAAATAACCATATGTTTATATACTAGTGAGAAAGAGCCAGTAGAGAGAGGGAACTGATGATGCTAGACAGAGAGGAGAGTAACTGGAGAAATATCATTGATGAGGTAAGAGAGGATGGAATAGAGTAGAGAGTGAGGACCTCAGTTGGTTAAGGGCACAAAGAGTTCATCCAAAGGGAGAAGAGGGAAGTCACAATATTTGGACACAGATGCAGGAAGGTGAATGGATGGTGCAGTAGAAGCTAGTGGAGATTCTCTCCTGGTGGCCTTTTTCCTCTCAGTATATTAGGAAGCAAGTTCAGCTGAGAGTGAATCAAGGATGAAGGAGGGAGGGCTGGGATTTTAGAAAAGAGGAGGAATTATAAACTAGCCATCTAGGAGAGTAGTTCTCAAGCTTGACTGTGTATTGGAATTACCTAGAGAGTCTGTTAAGACCCCACCCAGAGTTTCTGATTCTGGAGGTTTGGGGTGGGCCTGAGCACTTGCATTTCTAATGAGTTTCCAGGTGATCCTGCAGCTGTTGGTCCTGGGATGACCTTTTGAGAACCACTTTGGTAGCAAATGGGAGAGTGAATGAATTATGGAAATATAGTCGGGTTGTCAGGCAGCATCAAGGGCCCATTTAAGGTTAGAAATCATGGATTGTAAGTGTCTATTCAGCATTCTGATCATGTTCACAGTTATTGTTACAGGTTTAGAGTCCTGTATCTTTAACACTTTCATTTTCT